CGCGGGTCCTCGGGTCTTTGGGCAGATGCCCCTGCCTCTCTCCATAGCCTTGGTGTCTGCCCCGAGGTCCTGGAGACCCTTTTGCCTGGGACAGTCACCGAAATGTCCACACTTGCTTACTGCATTCTTGAGAGTCACCCCCTCTGGGGGCCCCTGTAAATTGAGGAGCAGGACAAGACCACAGGGTATAGAATTGGGGGAGAGCAGGAGGCAGATGGAACTGCCACAAGCACCTCGTCTGCCTCTTATCAACTTCTCAGCCTCAGACAATTGGCATTGATTCTCCCGAAGCCTCCATTTCTACGTCTGTAAAATGGGGTCAACCCGGCCTCATGGCTTTGGTGCAGGGAACAGGGTAAGAGGAAGCATGTGAAAGTGTCGCACACAGCAGGTGCCTTTCCTGGGTCTGAGCAGTGGCGGTCAGCCCTCTCAGCTTATGTAAAGGCCAAGGTGAAGGAGTGCTCTCTACCCGCCGAGCCCGAAGCTCCCCGCTGCAGCCTTCTCCCCGTTGTGACCCCTTTCTGCCTCTGCTGGCAGATCCCATCCCGGGGGGCTCTCTGGGGGAGGCTGGCAGTGCGCCTGCTCCCAAGGCAGGTGGCATCTGAGGGGATTTCTGGAAAGTCAGAGAGCCACGAAGTCCCCAGGTGCTGCGTGGATGGGGGCAGAGGAACAGGGGCTGCAGCCTCACTACTTTCCCATGACCCCTCCCGGTGGTAGCCGCTTCCTCCTCCCCAGGCCTGCCCCCATTCCTTCCTTCCTCTATTTATAAACAGAAAGAACGGACAGCCCCCACTTTGGCTTCTGGCAGGACCTCGGTCTGTGCGCAAGACAAAGCACCAGTCCCAGGCTGTCCAGGCCCCAAGGGGTGATGTAGACCCTCAAACCAGAGAGACCTGTGCAGCTGCCTGGCCCCTACTGGCACTGGCCTGGTCCACCACTGTGCTCTGGGAGTCCTCTAGGGTGGGAAGAGGCGGGGCATGAGGGCAGGACAACAGGTCTAGCTTCCCAGGGGAGCCGGCTGGACCCTGGAGCTTTGCCCCAGCAGGCCTCTGAGGCTCACTTAAATTCTTTTTTTTTCGGGTGCTAGATATCAAACTCACAGGTGCTTTACCCTTGAGCTGCATCCCCAGCCCTTTTTAAAATTTGAAACAGGGTTTACTAAGTTGCTGAGGCTGGCCTCAAACCTGCGGTCCTCCTGCCTTAGCCTTCCAAGGTACTGGGATGACAGGCGTGCACCACTGTGCCTGGTCCCCAAGCTCACTGTCTTGCAAGGACTTGTAGCCACATCATCCTCCGAAGGGCCACTTGAGACCCCAGCCTCTGCGTTTTGGCCATCTGTTCCCAGACTCTTATCCCCTCCAGTGTTCCTCCAGCAGGCCCACGGGAGGCTGAGGCCAGGGGAGGAGCTGCAGACGTTAGGGTGAGGGACGGTGTCCTTCCTTCTTTCCTTCCATCTGTCATTCTCCTCTGAAACCTCTGTCTGTCATCACTGATCAGCCATCGTCATCTTTCGTGTCTCTCTTCTCCAGTCCCCTCACGGCTGGCTCACGATTCCCCACGTGTTCAATGGTGCTCGCTCTCCTCCGTGATTTCCACGGGGTTTGAAAGGCTGTGTCTGCTGAATGCGCTGACAGAATCGCGTGCAAGCCGTTGAATTTCCTCATTTTACAGCGTCACATCCCCCGTGGGCAGGTGGGGTGTGAATCTGAACCCCCCCAACTCAAAACAAGAGAGCTGGCGGCCCCCTGGCCCTGCGCCGCCCAGAGGCCGCTGCCACATTCTGGGGACTTCTGGGCCCTCCAGCTTGCTGGGTCCCTGTGGTGCCCCTGAGCTCCGGGGGCTGTCATTTGGACTCCGCCCTGCTCTGAGGAGGCTGCGTGGAGGGAATGACCTTCTGTCCGGCTCAGGGGCTTTCTGTTCCTCATTGTTTGGCCATGACAGAGCTGAGGGTTTTTTTTTTTTTTTTCTTTTTCTGTGTCCCGAGGATAAACAGGCCTGGAGATTGCTGGGGGGCTGGGGCCTGGACAGTGGGTGGGTCACCAGCAGCAGGAGGAAGCCGGGGAGGCTTGTTCACAGCAACTTCCAGACAAGAAACGAACTGGGAGGAGGAGGCTCGGGCCGTGCCAGGGTGAGAGCCCAGACTTGGCCACGGCAGGGCCCTTTCCCATCAGGCCTTTCGCCCCTGACGGGAAACCTTCCCCCAGACGGCGCAGGATTTCTCTTGGCTGCCTGGAGCTGCCCACGTCCCAGATGAGCACGGTTCCCGTAGCTGTGCAGGGGTGAAGCCATGGGGGGCAGTGTTGCCAGGAGCCCTGGGCTGGCACCTCAGCTCCTCCCAGCCCAGGAGCTGCTCCCCTGGGAGGGCCAGCGTGGGGCCTGGGGGCAGGCCGGCCCTTGGGGCAGTTAACGTCCAGTTGAATGGTCTGTGCTGAAGGAGCTGTGAAGACAGAGGGTCCCCGGGTGCTGTCCCCCGGCCCTGCCCAGGCCACCCTGCTCCACCATGGGGCTGAGTAATCAGATCAGATCACGCTGGGCAGCAGAGCCCGCGGTCACCGCAGGGGCTCCTTGCTCTTCCTCCTTCTCCTTTTCCTAACGGTACAGCTTCTGGGCCCCGAGATCCCCCCGCGGTGGGAGTGGAAGTCAGCACAGTGACAGGCCCCCAGGAGCCTTGGCCACCAGCAGCAAGGCTCCACATGCTGAGAAGCTCTGCCATGGCTCCTGGCCCTGGCTTCACCTTTTGTCCAGGGTGCCTGGGAACCTGCTGTGTCACCTGGCTGGGAGGGAGGAAGTCCTGGGATTGCGTGTGCACATGCATGTGCCCGTGGACCCCTGCACATGCGAGTTCCCGAGTTCCCAGAGGGCTTTGCCATTGCTCTTTCAGACTCTGGGTGCTGCAGCACGGCCCGCCTCCCCTGCCCCAGCGAGCTGCTTCTCTCCCACCTGGCCAGAGCTGACTGGGCCTGGAGGGGCAGGGTGGCCTGGATGCAGGCCAGGGAATGACATGGCAATGAAGCCCCCTGCTTAGATCGGCCACGGCTGAGCCCCGTCCATGCCACGCTGGGCAGAGTGTCCTGCCATCTGGAGGGTCACCTGGAGAGTCAACCCGTGGCAGCCCTGTCCACTGGGAGCCAGGAGGGAGGAGGGTCAGGATTCGGGATCGGGGTGATTCCTGCAGGGTGGGGGTGGGAGGCTGCTGGCTGGCTGAGGGCCCTTCAGAGGAATTTGCAGAGGAAGCAGGAGATAACTCAGGCGTGGGGCGGGAGGAGTGCGGACTGCAGCAGGACCCAGCCCTGTGGGTCGTTGCCCCGTTGGCATGACGCCACGAGCAGCCAGAGAGTCAGTGCTGCCCACCAGGCTGAGCTGGGAAGACGGCTGGGTCGTGGGCCCACTTGTCACTCACTGTAGTGACCCTCCAAGCTGGGCAGCCCTGACTCCCAGGCAGTGCTGTGGACAGGGAGAGAAGACAGCGGGAGTCCCACCCCCCTTGGATCATGGGAATTTGGCCTGTCTCCACTGCCCGGTGGTAGCTGGCATCTTTCTGGTGGTTTGTTTACAGCTGATGTCCAGTGTGACTGGTCAGCACTCATGTTGTGTTGGCAAATATTTTGAATATCTCACTTGCTTCTGTGTTAGGAATTAGAGTCAGAGAGGTTGAGGCCCTTGCCTAAGGCCACTCAGCTGGTAAGTGATGGAATAAGGAAAAGAAACCTGGCCTCTCTGACTACCCTTATCTGTGGAAGCCTTATCTCACTTAATAAAGGTTATTGAGCTCCTGCCCACACGTGATTGCTGCTGGTGGGACACCCGCCAGCCCTCAACTCTGACCTACGGCCACCCTGGTCACTCCAAGGCGGTGTCTGGAGGACTGCCTTTGGGTGTGTGTGTACAGTCAGCTCTTGGCCTGGAGACACACGTACACGCCCACGTTGGCCTCACGTAAATGCCCAGCCCCGGGTGTGCTCACGGCCCGCAGAGGCGGCTGATGGACGCCTGCCCCTGAAAGCCCGGATGGCCGGTCTCAAACATTTGAAAGGAGGGGCAGGAGAGGGGTGTGTGGCCAAGGCCCTGGGACAGGCACAGTAGTGAGGTCACTCAGAGACCCGAGGGAGGAGGCTGAGTCTGTCCGTCTGTCTGGCCGTGTGCCGTGGAAGTGCTGTTTTCCTCTCTCCTTTCTCCTCATTCATTCCTTTGTCTTGCTCTCTCTTCCTGGAGGCGGGGGCCCAGTACTGAGATCACAAGTGGTGAAGTCGGGATTAAAGTCCTTCTTGTCATTGGCCCTGGGACCTTGGGCAAGTGACCTGCCCTCCTTGTGCCTCCGTTTCCTGTTCCCTGTGGTAGCCACAGGAAGCAACCCTGCGTCGGGTGGCCGGGAGGTGGGTCTTGCTGAGGTCCCACAGCTGAGCCTGGGACAGGGGCCTGCGACAGGGATTTAATGGAGAAGGGCCCTGGGGCAGCAGGACAGGCAGGGGACGGGGCGAAGCAGGGCTGAGTGGGGGCAGCTGGAGCCAGGTTTGGCTTGGTTCCCGGGGCTCCGGGTTGGGAGGTGCACCAGAGTTGGTCCCATCCTGAGGCCAGGGAACCGAGAGCCCTTACCAGGTGACAGTGGCTACCAGGAACGGCCACCCTGCTGGTGACAGGGATCCGAGTGGCGCCCGAGCCCCAGAAGCCCTCAGGATCGCAGCACTGGCTGCGGGCATGTGCATTTCCCCTGGCCGCTCTCTGCCCGCGGGCTGCAGGCCTAGGGCAGGACCACCCCAGCAGTCACCCTGCCAGCCCCGCCCCAGCAGTCACCCTGGCAGCCCCGCCCTCTGGCTCTGTGCCTCCACCTGCAGACTGTGTGCTACACGGAGGATGGAGGCGGAGGAGGCCAGGCCCCCCTTCCCCTGCGTCCCACCCTGACAGGTGCTCCATCAGGAGGGCAGCGCTCACAGGCAGGACCTGGGTGCTGGGTGTGGGGACCGGCTGCCACGCTGACGGCTGTCTCACCTCCCCAATTGCAGGTTGCCGTGATGCCCTATGCCCTGGAACCTGGGGACACGTGCCGGCAGAACGAGTACTACCAAGAGACGGCTCAGGTCTGCTGCAGCAAGTGTCAGCCTGGTAAGGAGCAGCCGCGGGGCCTCTGGGCTGGCCGGGACCCTGGGGCGGTGCCCTGGAGGGCGCATGTGTTGAGGGGTTGGGGGCAGAGCCATCACCCTCAGTTCTTACTGAACTCTTAGTGCCGTGCATTGGCTTGGGCTCCCTGGGGCCCCTGGGCCTTTGTACATGATGTCCTCTCTGCCTGGAGCTCTTCCCAACGGCTCTTGCTGTGGTCAATCCCTTTGCATCCCTCAGTCCTTGTGTTAGCTGTCCCCTCCTCTAGGGGTCAGCCTGCCCCACACTTCTGGCCCCTGGCAGCTCTTTTTGCACCATGGGCTTTTGGCCCAGTTTCTCCCTTGGTCTCACTGTGTGCCCTTCCAGGACAGGGACTGTGCCTTCGTCTCCACTGAGTCCCCAGTACGTGGTGCATAGTAGGTGCTCAGTGCATATCTCATTCCATGAACCCATTTCCCAGATGGTGGACCTGAGTCCTGGCCCAGTGGGGAGAGCTGGGGAGCTGCCCCCCCATGTCTGCCCTTCATGCAGCCAATCATGTTTGTGATTCACTCGTGTAGCATTTATAAAGCACCTGTTGTATTTTTTAAGTGTGGGGCGGACAGAATCCTTTATAGGGCACCTACTGTGTGTGTTTTAAGAGCAGGGCAGACAAACTCCTTACCTTGGTGGAGTCTGCTTTCTAATGGACGCGTGGTCCTGTCAGTAGGTGCTGGGGGGAAGCAGGGCACGGTGGGGCTGGTGGAGACAGATGGAGTGGCCCCTCCATTTCCATGGCCTGGGGAGGTCTCTGAGAGGATGACATTGGGCTGAGCCCAGAAGAAGGGGATTGAGCTATGTGGGGAACAGCAGGCCAAGCACAAGTGACAGGTGCTAAGGCCCTGTGGTGGAGCCTGCGTGGCAGGGCAATGTGTGTGGCCCGGGGTGGGAGAAGGGCAGGAGGACGGGATGAGGATAAAGAGGCAGGCGGGGGCCAGGGCAGGGTTAGATTTTATTCCCTAAGATGCTGGAAGCCACCGGAGACTTTGGGCCATTAGCTTGTGATGTGGGTAGCAACATGAGTCACCTGTTAACACCCATGGCCACTTTAATAGACACCCGGGAAAGGGACTTTTTCCTTCTGTTACCAGGCAGGGTCTGTTTAAGAAGTTACTAGATTAGCAGAGCACTTAGATCTTGGGGATGGGTCAGGAGGGTGAGGGCCCTGGGTTTGCCTGGGTGTTCTCCCACCCCGCCCCCTCCCCAGGCCTCAGGCCCCTGCCCTCACCTCCCTGGGGTCCCAGGGCCACATTCTTCCGGCCTTCCCCTCCTGCTGCAGGAGAGTTTTTAAAACTATCAAGAGGGAAGGCCTTGGCCGCCAGTTCTGGCCTGACAGCAGGTTTCTGGGGCAGATTCCGGCGTCTGAGAGAGCAGGGGGCGCGGGATTTGGAGGTGCCCACGAGGAGGAGCTGCGGAGGAGGAGTTAGAACTTCGCCGAAGGCCTTCCCAGCAACACTGTGGCGCCTGGGGACCCCAGCCGATGAGCCTGGGGTCCTGGCAGAGCTCCACTCTGCTGAGACCACGGTGGCCCTTGTTTCCTTAGGCCACCATGTGAAAAACTTGTGCACCAAGACCTCCGACACCGTGTGTGTCCCCTGCGAGGACAGCACGTTCACCCAGGTCTGGAACGTGGTCGACAAGTGCATAAGCTGCCGGTCCCCCTGCGAGTCTGGTGAGTGGGCCCTGGGAGGGGCGGCCCCCTCCTCCCTTGGCACCCCACCTGGCACTTCCCTCCCCCGGGCATGCGTGGCACCCTGCAGCTCCTTACCAGCTTCCAAATGGCCCCTCCCTTCCCCACCTCACCAGCCCCTTGTCCAATCCCCTGGAGCAGAAAGCTCGGATGGCGGTGGGAGGACGGCGCCCACATTAAGGTTGAGGAGCCAGTGGCGCAGGGAGCAGCCTGGGAGTCTCGGTGGCCGGGGCCTTTTGTGCCCTGGGTGGGGGGGTGCACCTGGGTCCTGAGGCCAGCTCCCTGTGGCTCTGGGCAGGCTGGGAGGGCAGAGCAGGCGTGGCAGAGGCAGGAATGACCCCAGCTCCCTGTCCCTCCCCCAGGTCAGGTGGAGACCCAAGCCTGCACGCAGATGCGGAACCGCGTGTGTGCCTGCGGGCCGGGCTCGTACTGCGTGCTGAAGCGTCAGGACAGCTGCGGGCTCTGCCTGGCCATGCGCAGGTGCCCGCCCGGCTACGGCGTGTCCAGACCAGGTACGAGACCCCTGGGCCTCTCCTCCACAGACACCCGTGGATGTCACAGGTGTCAACCCATCAGTCCAGCCCAGCCAGGGGCATCTGTCCATCCAGCCACCCCTCATTCCCTCCTTCAGCACTCCCGATTAGGCACCTGCTGTGTACTAGGGCCTGGGAATCCAGAGTGGATCGGAGTAAATCCCGAACTGCTGGAAAGTCAGGAGGTCCTTGGGCCCCTCAGGCCCCCCAGGGCTCCAGGGCAGGGTCCCCTGTGCATGGAGGGTTCAAGTTGTTGACAACTTCCACTTTTCCCCTTGAAGGAACTGCAACCTCAGATGTGAGGTGTGACCCTTGTCCCCGAGGGACGTTCTCCAACACGACTTCATCCACAGACGTCTGCCGGCCCCACCGCATGTAAGTGGCTGAGTCCCTGGCTCTGAAGAGCAGAAGGGGCTGTCCCTGGGTGATGTGGGGCCTGAGACATGAGCAGCTCACCAGCCACTGGTGCCCGGATTGCTTTCTGTGGGGTGGTCCTGGGGTAGACAGTGAGCAGGACCTTGCCACGGGAGTCAGACTAGAGGGCACACAGGGAAAGGGGGGTGGGGGCAGGAGCAAGTGGACCCTGGAGAGGGTCCGACACACGTATTACTCCCCTGTTCTGGCTGCTGGGGTCCCTGCTGGCTGGCCTGGCTCCCACGACTGAGCCTGGTCACCCCAGGCCCCTTGGCCTCTGTTGCCTGCTGATCAAGTCTCCTCCTCCCCCAGCTGTGACTCGGTGGCCGTCCCCGGCACCGCAAGCACAGATGCCGTCTGCACATCTGAATCTCCCAGCCTGAGAGTGACCCCGGGGACAGCCCGCACACGCCAGCCGGTGTCTACAAGATCCCAGTCCATGGAGCCCACACCAGGGCCCAGCACGGCTCCGTCCACCTCCCTCCTGCTGCCCGTGCAGAATGCGAGCATCTCTCTCCCAGTCGGTAGGCCACAGAGGGGCCTCCCTCTTCCCCCCCTCCTTTCTCTTCCTTCCTCTCTGTCTCTCTGTGTCCCACTGAGAGCCCCCTGTGCTCAGGCCCCATGTGGGTCTGTCTTGGGATGCAGGTGGCAGTGACTGGTTTCCTTCCAGGACCTGGTGATGTCACTAGGAATCCCGGGGTGGGGTGCCCCAGGGTCGGCTGTTTGCCTAACGTGGAGATGGTCTCATAATCCCTGTTTCTGATGAACCCGTGTGGCCTGGTCATCTTGTTGCCTTCCCTTCTGGGGTGAGAACTGCCCAGCCAGGGGACTCAGACTGGCGGCCCTCAGACAGAGTGTGGCCCACAAATATACGATGGGCTCGTCATTGAACTTAAGGACTCAGGCCTGGTCTGGCTCCTCCCGGGCAGTAGCCTGGCCACCTCAGTCACGGTGCCACTGGGACGTGCAGCTTGTCTTTGTGGCCCTCTGAGCGCCTCCCTTCTTCCTAGGACTAATTGTGGGGCTGACAGCCCTGGGCCTGCTGATGATAGGACTGGTGAACTGTGTCATCGTCACCCAGAAGAAAAGTAAGATTCCTTTCCTCCTGGCTTCCCTCACCCACTGGCTCAGGACGACCTTCGGGAGCCTCCCTGGGCATGCCTTGGGCTCAGACGGACCCGGACCCCAGATCTGGACACCACAGTCCCTGTTCTGTGGGAGCTTAAGCCTGGGCAGAGGGCAGTGCCGCTAGCTTTGCTGCTGACCGGCCAGGGCATTTGAAGCTCTCCAGGGGGACAGGAGTCTGGGGTTCCTATCCAGAAAGTCTGGGGGCACCAGGCCACCGGGCAAGAGCATGCCCAGGAGAGAGCGGGCACTGAGGGCAGGAGGGGTGTGGGCAGAAGCGGGCTGCCAGCAGCTCGGGCAGAGGGAGGAACGGGGCTGGCCCTGCCGGAGAGTCGGGGTCCTTCTGTGGAGAGCCGTGCCCCAGGAAGCCGCCTCCCTGACTTGTCCCCTCTCTTTGTAGAGAAACCCTCCTGCCTACAGAGAGGAGCCAAGGTGGTGAGTGTCCCTCTGCCCCTCCTCGGGTCTCTTTCTGGGCAGGCGGGTTGCAGTGAGAAGCAGTGCCTTCTGTTCTCTTGTCCAGGGTCAGCGGATGCAGAGCCCCAGGTGGCCCAGTGTCCAGGGTTTACACAAGGCTGTTGAAATCTCGTAGACTAGTTTCATTTCCTGATTTTGCCAACAGGAAAGTTGCAGAGCAGGACAGTGATTTACCCAAGGTCACACAGCCCCGTCCTGGACTCCTGCCCAGTGCTCTCTGCCCCCACCCTACGGCATTTCGATGGGGGCCAGACTGTTTCTCATGTCCCCACTCCTCACTTTTTCCTACTTCAGTTCAATGACACTGTGACAGCTGCCTAGTAGCAGATAAAGCAAGTGTCCCCTCCAGGCTGGGCCCCAGCAGCCCGGTTGCCGCCCTGTCTTGGCCAGTGTTTCCCGATGTTTGTGCTCAGATGTCCTGTGGTGGTGCAGGAGGACTGCTTCCCCTTCCCTTTGCCGAGTTTGTGTTGCCCAAGGGTGACAGCCCCAAGGGTGACAGCCCCACCCCTGTGCTGAGAGCCCTCGAGAGCCCTGTGGCGGCTGGTGACAGCTGTCTAGGGGGAGAAGACCCAATGCCTGATTTGTGGTGCTTTCTCATTTCCGTGGTGTGGACGCCCACATGGCCAGCTTCCAAGGCCATCCTGACCTGGGGCTGGGAAGACACGTGTAGGTCTGTGCCAGCACCCGCTCACCCAAGCCAGGCGCTCTGCCTGTGCCAGATCCTCCCGTCCTGAGGGCAGGGACCACCAGCCTCCCCCTCTTATAGACGGGGAGACTGAGGCTCAGAGCTGCAGTCGCTCCTGCAGGGTCAGGTGCTCAGGCCGTTGGCAGAACTGGCTTCGGCAGGTAGCCTGACGGGCGGCCTCCACCTTCACCCCGCCTGTTGGGCCAGGAGATGTTCGGGCTGCTCTGGGCACTCCCCCTCCCAGCAAGGCTGCCCTCGGGGTTGGTCACCCTCCAGGGGCCCCGCCCCTTGCTGAGCTGGTGCCCACTCTGCCGTCCCTCAGCTGGCTGGTAGCCATCCTGCTGGGAGCCCCGTGGGTGATGTTCCCCCACGAGGCCCGGGGGCGGGATGAGCTGTGAGTCAGCTCGCCCGCTCCTCCAGCGCTCGGGGGACAGTGGCTTCCTCTGCTTAGAAAAGCAACATGTGAGTGCACCTGCAGCCACCCCCAGATACACTCAGGCGGGCCTCCCGTGGTAACCAGGGCTCGTGTTGGCTGGGTACAGAGTGACGTCAGGTGCTGTGCTGAGCGGGCTTTCTCCTTCCAGTCTCGCTGTGACACGCAGGTCACGTGGTTGTTGCCCCACTTTCCTAGCCCAGGACTCTTGGCCCAGAGAAGTTAAGTAACTTTCCCAAGCAAGCCCAGCTGATGAGAGGGGCCTGGGTCACAAGCCTAGGTGCCTCTCCTCCCCCGGGCACACTCTAACAGTGCCACACCAGGCGTGCGCACACCATCCTGCACACGAAGGCTCCTGGGTGTGCGCCTCATACACCCTCAGCGTCTGGATACACACCCCTCCACATACACAGACAGGCCTGAGGGGCAGCATGCTTGGCCTGGGAGCAGAAGCTGGGTAGGGGTCTGGGGGAGACCTAGGCCAGAAAGCCCCTGCCCAGAGGCTGTGAGGAGGGACATTCATTGCTCCCTCTCACTGACCAAGCTCGGAGCAGGGCTGCAGGATGGGATCAGGCAGTGGCCAGAATCTGACTGTGAACTTGAAATGCCTTCTGTCCCTCCAAACCTGGGAGCCTGGGCCAGCGGGGACTCTGGGGAGGCACAGGGTGCAGCAGGCAGCTGCGGCCCTGCACGGGCTGGGCTCCTCCTGCTCTCGGCAGCCGTGTGGTACCGAGCATGGGACTCACCCTGGCTGGGCTGCTGTGGCCTCATGGGGTCAGTCGCACAGGGTCCTGCCAGCCCAGAGGCAGAGGCTGTGGTCCAGGCTGGCTTCAGGGAACAGAGGGGCTGCAAGCTGGGGACTGTGGTGATTGGCCAGCCAGGAGCAGCCCCAGGAAGGGGCAGCAGTACTCCTGCCTCCGCTCAGGCCACATCTGGAATTGTGTCCCCCTGGAGGGAGGTCCGAGGGGCTTCTTGCTCTGGAGGGCTAACAGGCCTGTGAGGTCCCCTGTCTGTCCCCATAGCAGATGAAGACTCCCAGCCGTCCCTCTGTCCCTGCAGCGATAGGTGTGGCCACCAGCCGTTCAGTCCTCTGTTCTCGTTCTGCTCTGACCCTTTCCCCTCCTGGGTAGGACAGCGGCCCTGGCAGCCACAGAACCTGGCCCTGCTATCTCCTTTTTTCCTGGGATCCAGAGCTTCCCCAGACCCTGGGGCAAGGCCCTGAGTTCCTGCTAGTCAGGGTGGGCAGACTCGCCTTGGTCTGGGGTCTCCCGATGGCCCAGCCTGGGTGTCTGGAGGCAGGGAGCTTGTCTTGAGCCTTCAGACCTGAAACCCCAGCCACCCAGAAGTGGCAATGTGGCTTTAGCCCAGCTGTATCTCATCCTAACCATGACCTTGGGCAAGTGACACAGTCGTTTTGTGCCTCCGTTTCCAAACCTGTAAGGCTAGGGCAGCACTGGACTGTTGGAGAATCTGTGGGGACACTGTCTGGAGGGCCCTGGGGCGGTGCCTGGCAGTGGGCAGCACTCAGATGCCAGCCGATGGCTTATTAGAAAGACGTTAGGGGGCATCACAGGGCAGCCTGGGGGGCACCATGGAAAGGGTCACTGAGCGGGGGCAGCTGAGGGTCCCCCGATGACAGGGCTCCCTGCTCTGCGCTGATTGATTGGACTCAGGTCAGCACACTTTACTGCCAAGGGCCAGATAGCTGCTTTGTGGATGGTATGGTCTCCGTGACAATTCCTCAATCCTGATTTTGTAGGACGAAAGTCAGTCGGCACAGTGAGAGTGGCCGCGTTCCATCCAACCTTGTTTATAAGTGCTGAAACTTGCACTGCCCAAAATGTCATGTGTTTTGGAATATTATTCTTTAAAAAAAAAGATTTTTTAAAAACACGAAAACCACCAGGTAGAGGCTGAGGTAGGAGGATCCCAAGTTCAAAGCCAGCCTCAGCAACTTAACGAGGCTGTAGGCAACCTAGAGAGACCCTGTCGCAAAACAAAAAATAAAAAGGGCTGGGGATGTGGCTCAGTGGTTAAGTACCCCTTGTTCAATCTCCGGTACCTAAGTAAACAATTAAGTAAGTGAGTAAGTAAGTGAGTAAATAAATAAAAACATGAAGTTTTTCTTAGCTCTCAGGCTGTATGGAAATCAGCAGTGTGCTGGACTGGGCCCGGCCGTCCTCCCTCTACTTCTGTGTGAAGCTTGCCGTACCGCTCGCTGTTCAAGCACATTCGGCTGCTCAGCTGTTGAATCTCCCAACAGCCCTGTGACATAGGTTCATATGCTCACCTTAGAGATAAGAATAGGGAGGCACAGAGGGGTTAGGTAACTGGTCTGTGTTTGCACAGCAAGCGAGTACAGGATTTGGCTTGTGGCTGCTGCCCTGGGTGACCTTAGGAAAGTCGCTTTCCCTGGGTCGTTGTTTGGTGGAGAAGGCCACATGGCCCCTGCCCTCCTCAGGCTCAGGCTCCAGCTGGGTGGCTAGATGCTAATAATAGAAACACAAAAAACCACGGAAACTCACCCCTCCCAGAAAGTGCTGTGTGTGGAAAGAGCAGGGGCCGGGGTGTGGTGTAGCCTGCAGTGCTGACGGGAGGTGGGGGAGGAGAGGCTGGGGGCTGACTGCTCTTCCTCCCGCAGCCTCACCTGCCTGCGGATAAGGGCCAGGACGCGCCCGGGCTGGAGCAGCAGCACCTGCTGACCGCGGCGCCCAGCTCCAGCAGCAGCTCCCTGGAGAGCTCGGCCAGCGCCGCAGACAGGGGCGCACCCAGCAGGCACCAGCCGCAGATGCCCGGCACTGAGAAGGCCCGGGAGTCCCGGGAGGCCCCGGCCAGCTCTGGGAGCTCGGGTAAGAGGAAGGAGCACCCCTGGCTCATCCCGCTCTGTGCAGAGGCCCCTCCGCCTGGGGTGGGATCGTGTCCCGGCAAACCCGTCGTCAGCCAAAATCATCCTAAGTGAAAAGTGCACTCGGGACAGCTGTCCCAGAACCCCCCGCCCAGCGCAGTCCACCGCAGGGAGGGGTGGTGCCCCTGTGGTCCCGCGGCTCGCCAGGTGAGGGGCTCCTGGTCACCCTGAATCGCCCCCGAGCCCCAGGCCCAGCACCTGCCTGGCTGATGACAGTAATGGCTCTTTTTTTAAATATTTATTTTTTAGTTGTAGTTGGACACAATACTTGTATTTTATTTATTTTTATGTGGTGCTGAGGATCAAGCCTAGGGCCTCGCATGTGCTAGGTGAGCGCTCTACCGCTGAGCCCCAAGGCCGTTGGTACGTCAGGCACCATCCTGGGCACATTACATGCCTAAAATCAACCTGCACACTATGGCCATCCTCATCCCCATTTTACAGGGGAGGAAACGGGGGCCCAGAGAGGCTAAGCAGCCTGTTCAAAGGCACACAGAAGAGCCAGGAGTGCCCCCTGGGTTTCCAGGGCTCTGCTCACTGCAGCTTTTTGTGGGTCCCTTTGAGCCTGAGGTGCCAGGACTGTGGGGACCTTGTCCCATTTGTACAGTCCTGAACAGGTGTCTGGCAGGTGTCACCCATACCGAGTGCATCCCCGAGAGGCTTTCCCCCAAAGCCCTGGGCCCCCTAGGGTTTGTTCTGCAGTGGGGAGGGCCAGATGACTGGCCCACGTCTCTCCCGCTCACCTGGCCAGTGGGGCCACAGGGATTGGCTATGAGCTTGGTCATTCCTGGATCTGCCCAGCTGCTCTGGGGCTACGGGCATCTGAGCAGCCTTCTCAGCCCCACCGGGTCATGGTTCCCCATCTAGAAATGAGCCATGCCACCTCCTTGGCAGGGCTGCTGAGAGATGAGTGGCACGTGCCCAGTTTGGTGCTGGACAGGGCCCAGCTTCCTCTGGGTCACCTCCAGGCGGGCGCTGACGGCGGCAGTCACCGCACACCCACGGCTGCTCCCTGGGTGGCGCGTCCTGCCTGCGGCCGGTGCTCACAGCACCCTGCTCCCACCTGCCCATGTGAGCTGCCCACTTCCGTCTTCTCACAGCCCACCCGCTCTGTCGGGGCGAGTCTGGTCAGTGTCCCTTGCTCCCGCCTGAGAACTCCCTCGGGGAGGCCCCACCGGGCCTGGCACAGACAGGGCGCCCGAATGTTTGTGGCATGCATGAATGAGCGTGCTGTGGACGGCAGCTCTGGGTCTCTGTCCAGCTCTTGGATTCTCTTTCTGGTCTCTTCCACAGGCCCACGTGGCTTCCTCCTTGGCCCCGGAGTGGACGCCGGCCATGCCTGCCTGTCCTCTTTCCCTTCTGCTTCTATTCCTCCTCTCTGCCTCGACCGCCTCTGCTCTCCCCTGCTTCCCCTCCCACCGGTCACCTCTCCACTGTGGGAACCCCAGAGCTGTGCCCCGTCCGCCTCCACAGTCTCCTTCACCACGGGCAAAGGCCGTGGTGACTTCGGGTGACATTTGGGTTCTTCGGAGGCTCAGAGTGGAAATTTCTTTCTGGCCCCACAATTTCAGCCCTCCCTCTCCCTGGTTGGTTTGGGGCTGTTCTGAGAAGAGTAGTGTTGGCCCCGCTGTCCTCCTCCCAGGCTCCCCCAGTTCCCAGAGGGCGTCCAGAGAGCCAGGCTGGATGGGGCACTGGAAGACAACCAGCTGCCCCTTCATCTGGGCGCCCAGTGGGACAGGAACAGCAGCAGCAGCAGCAACGGTCACTTCTTGAGGGGATGTTGTGCGTGAAGCCCTGTACGTCCACCCTCCAGCTCACCCGTCATCTGTCCCTCACCAACTAACTAGGAAACTCAGGTGGCCACAGGCGCTGGGCAGGAAGGTGGGGCAAGCTGCCCCTGAAGTCCTTCCTGCCAACTGCTTCAGGAACGTGGCTTCCCTGTGGCCCGCCACAGCCAGCTCTCCTGCACGTGGCTCCCAGGGGAGGCCTTACGTCCAGGTGGGTTTTGCCCCTTGTTGCTGGCGAAGGAACCAGGGCCTCGTGTGCTGGCGAGTGCTCTGCCACTGAGCGCCACCCCCAGAGCCAAATGTGTGAAGTGCCAATGGCTGGATTTTAAACGGCAGTAGCCAGTTCACTTTAAAACTCTGCTGCCACCCAAACGGCACACCTGGCCTCGTTTCCTCCATTCGACACTCCTCTCTGTTACAGGCACTAGGGACATTGCAGGGGACAGTCTGGAAGTCCCGACTTCCAGGGTCTGGGGTCTGGGGGAGGGACCCAGGGAGTGGTGGACAGGATGGAGGGCTCATGTGTCTACGGAAGGAGGCCAGGGAGGCTTCTTGGAGGAAGTGGCCTTTGAGCCGAGTGAGGCCCGAGGGCGAGCCCCAAGAGTAGGCTGAGGCCTGAAGTCCAGGAGGGGCAGGAGGGGAGTTGGCTGGAGGGGCCCAGGGGAGAATTGGAGCAGGAGGACAGGCCAGGAGAGCCCGGAGGGCTGGGGGCTGTTGGGGGGGCCATGGTTTGCTGCGCAGCCAGCAGTTGCCGGCCACCTTTAAAGGCCTGGCTCTGGGGGCCACGGAACAGACTGCAGGAGGCAGGTTTGGGACCAGGAGCTTAAACCAGTCACGGGGGATCAAGTGGCAGCCACCCAGGCAGTTGTAGGGCAGTTCAAGGTACCTTTGATGGTGGTCCCGGCAGGAGTCGCTTATGGGTGGGTCGTGGGCTATTAAAGAATCCAAGGCTCTGGGTCTGAGCGGCTGGGGGCCGGGGCAGGGTGAACCGAGATGAGCAGGAGCAGGTTGGAAGGGAGACGGGCCTGTGCGTACCCAAGTGTGGGTGCTGCGAGGGAGCTGGACACGGGCCAGTGTCCACCCCAGTGAACAAGTGTCACTGTCTCCAGGAGCTGCCCTGGCCCCATACATACAGCAGTGAACAGGTCAGTCACCTTTGCCTGACAGGGGATACATAGGGCACCTTGTCCCCATTTTACGGCTGAGCGCACTAAAGTTCTGAGGCGTGAATAACTTGGCCAAGAAGTGGAGGCAGAGCAGGGATCTGATTGTCAGACTGAAGGCAGCAGGAGGCATTCCAGCGTGGTCACGAGGTGCCACCCCCCTTCCGGAATCTGAGATTTATGGAATCCTCCAGGCAGCTCTCAGGGAGGGAAGGGGCTCGCGGGGAGTGAAGATGACTTGGGGTTCCAAGAAGGAACCGTTTCTGGGCAGCCTACAGACACTGTGCAAGGCGGGGGCTTCTCTTGGTGTGGCCGGGCCGCGTGGCCTCCAGCAGCTGCTCCTCGCGGGTGCCTGACAGTGTTGGTGACATGTGCTTCCTGCCCCTCCCGCCCTCTGGTTCTCTGTGGGGAGCGTGTGTTCTTGGAACACTGGCACCTGCCCTAGCTCGCTGGGTGGCTTGGGCCGGGGAGGTGGGAACGCTGGTTTGGGCAGATGGGGAGACTGAGGCTGGTGGCGGTTGGCTCACCTGGGGTCACACAGCGGAGCTGGTATAGAATCTCCGTCTTGGCTCCAGGGATACAGCTGTTCTGGCCTGTCTTGTCTGCCTCTTGTAGGAGGCAGCTGTGAAGATGTCCCCCCTCTTCAAGGCTCCCAGACTGACACCCCCTCCCACCTTGTGCCTAACAGAGTCCTCCCCTGGTGGCCACGGGACCCAGGTCAACGTCACCTGCATTGTGAATGTCTGCAGCAGCTCCGACCATGGCTTACAGTGTTCCTCTCAAGCCAGCGCCACGATGGGGGACCCAGACACCAGCCCCTCGAGCTCCACGAAGGACGAGCAGGTCCCCTTCTCCAGGGAAGAACGCCCCTTTCAGTCCCGGCTGGAGACCCCAGAGACTCTGCTGCAGAGCTCGGAGAAGCCCCTGCCCCTTGGCGTGCCTGATGCCGGCATGAAGCCCAGTTAACCAGGCTGGCGTGGGCCATGTCACTGCCAGAGTGGTCTGGCCCCTGCTGAGGGACCCTGGTCCTTATAGACCCCACCCCCAGACTCTGTGGCTCTTTCTGGGCCAAATTCCTTGAGTGACATCCAGAGCCCTGGCCTTGCCCTCCTTGCAGGCCGAGGGAGGGGAGCAGCCAGCATGGTGGGACCCTCTGCCATTGTACTGTGTGCCCTTCTCAGAGGGCCCGCCGGGCACAGACCGAGGGGAGCCTGGGACAAGCCCTTGCCCCTCTGGGACCTGCCACCAGCTGGACCTGGGAGCTTGGCTACTGGAGCCCCTGTGGGATTGGTTTGGCTTGGTTTTCTGCTAACTCTGACTTTCTGGAGACCCCAGCACCCTCCCCTTCTCAGGAGCTTGCTGGGGAAGAGGGGTGCGGCGGGAACCATCCACGGAGAAAGGACACTTCACCCTGAATGCCGAGGCCACAGGATGGTCCCAGCAAGGGAGGCTGTGATCAGAGGGTTCTGTGTAGAGAGGAGGCCACAGCCCAGGAGGGGACGGGATTCCCTCAGGTTAGCTCCAGACTCCTGGAAAGTACCATTCTGTACCTGGATGTGAACATTAGGTGCCCAGGGCCCCAGCAGGCAGCTCCCCCTGCTGCATCCTGGGCAAGATGACAGAGCTTGCGTGGGTTGTGCTCAGCGGCGGACGCAGGCTTAGCATGTCGAGGCGCCAGGTTCCAGCCCGGCTGCATCCGCATCGCAGGTACCGTGCGAACCAGACAGAAAGCCCCGGGGTCTCGCGTGCCTCTGTATCCTCCATCTTTGACTCAACGTCCCTGGGGTCCTGCCCTCCCCTCTCGGGGTCTGGTGAGCCATGCCAAGGCCACTCCTCCTGTCAGGGAACTTCAGGAACTGGAAGGTCCAAGGCCCCGCAGCCATCTCTCTCCTACCTCAGCCTGGACCTTCCTTCAGCGTCCGGAGGGGTGTGCTCCCCCACCCCCTGGCCCAGGGGGGCTGCCGAGCCACCTTGGTACTGTGCCCACTGAGATCCCCCATGCACATGAGGAGCTGAGAGCCAGTCCTGTCTGTCCTGTGTCGTGGGTCTGCGTGGCCGGAGACGTCGTGTTGAATTGCCCATCCCCGAGCAGCTGAGGCCGATGATTTTTTTGCCAAGGACTTCTTCACCATTAGAGGGTCAGCCCGCTCTTGGGCCCTGCAGAGCGTGTCCAGGAAAGGCCGTGGCCAGATTCTAGAAGGAAGGGGTTGAGAGGCCAGATCAGCTCAGGTACTTGGATCTCTTGTGTATAAATTCTGCTGGATTTGAACTTGGCAGCTGAGCTGTGGGAGGGTAGGAGAGCCCAGATGTCACCATGGAAACAAGAAGGGCTTCCCACTCTGAGTCAAGATGTCCCACTGCCTGGACAGCCGGGTCTGTGCCCTCAGCCCACCCATCGCTGCGGTACAGCATGTGTGCCCCCTGGTGGGCAGACCTGGGAGGATCTCGGGCTTCCTTGGCGTTGCCCTGCAGAGCAGGGGAGCCAGAGTTGGAAGGACTCTTTCTGGATGTGACCTCTGTCTCCCCACTTGTGCCAACTCATCCCGAGAGAGTGAAAGTTTGCACTGTGTGCCCGATAGTGTTGCCGCTTGCAAATAAACTTCTTGTTTTACACATTGACTCCTGGCTCTGGCTGGGGTCTGAGTTTGGGTTTGTCCATGGTCCTGCTGGCCTGCCACCGATGTGACAAGAGATGGGGTCGTGCCCAGCTGTGCTGTGACTGGCCCCAGAGGTCACCCTATTACAGCTGCCCTTGCTAGGAGCCTGGCTGCACCCTCTGGAATGCGAACATCAAGACAGAACTTCCTGCCTTGGACAGACCCCCTGGTCTTTAGGTGTACGCCTGCCTCTTGTGCTCTCTTATCCCGCCCCCCTCAGCCTGCTCTTGGGATGCCGGTGGGGTCTCTGCAGGTCTGTCCATCATAGGCTGCCCCCAGTCAGTGGATGGAGGCTCCGCCCACCAGAGGCCCCACTCTGTGCAGCCACACATGAAGCCCATCCCTGGGTGCTGAGGTCAGCGTGGGCTCTGGGACAGAGTGGGTCTTGGAGGGTGTCGGGGAAGGGTTCTAGTGCTGACTTCTGAGCTGTTCCTGAGAGAAGAGCAGGAATGTTCCAGAACAAAGTGTGGAAGAGAACAGAGGCAAAGGCAGTTCTTTTTAAATAAGTTTATCTTTGTATCCTCATTTGGGGGGTCTTTTAAAATTTAACTTTTAACAGATAACATCATCATCCTCATGACTGAGTAACAGATTAAGGCTAAGTACCCAGATCGCTGTGTCCTTATGCCTTGGGCGTCTGGCCTTGGCTCTGCAGCAGGGTTGACTAACTAAATAGTGTTTTTCCATGCAGTGGTCCTCCCGGAGGCAGTACAGGCTGGTAATGGCATTTTTAGAGTCTAGAAACCCATCCTACTTACTCATCATAACGTGGACTAGACTCCTTATGCAGGTCCTCTGCCAGTTAGACCTTCCCTCAGTGTACTCACCTCAAGCAGCTTGATGACTAGTTTGCTACTCTTTATGGACTCCAAATTATTCTTAGGAATCTCTTGGTTCCTTATCAGTGTTCAGAGATGGTGCAAAAAAAGCTCATGAATTCTGTGTTGAAAAGCTGGCACTAAAAACTGAAATACCAAGGCTGGGGATATAGCTCCGTAGTAGGGCTCTTGCCCACTATGCATGAGGCCCTGGGTTTGATCCCCAGCATTGCCAAAAAATTAAATTAATAAATAAACTGGAAATACCAAGTATGCCAATCAGTTATCTTGTTTTTGAGATGCTCAGACCATTTCATCCCTCTGATTGCAAAACATCTAGATAGACTGGCACCAGAGCTGCTTCCCCCAGGGGTTAAAAAAAAAACAAAAAAACCCTGATTTGAAAGCCCATAGGGACGTCCTACTGGGCTCGAGGTTCTGGGGGCGCAGGGTGCTCACCATGTCATTCGACGAGGCCAGGCCATTTTACTTCCTCAGCCAGTGACTTACTTCAGCACAGTCCTGAGAGGACCTGTTGCCACTGTGCCGACATCTGAGAAGATGTGAGCCACAGCAAGCTGAAGACAGGACGGGAGGTGGGAGACAGTGAGCTCCCCCCAGAAACCAGGGCAGGCATGGCCGCTTCCTGAGGCTGGAGGGCTCCTCCCGGGAGGCGCAGCTCAGGTGGTCTCTCCCTGGTCTGTCTTTATCACACCAGCCCAGGGGACACACAGCAGCCTGCAAGGTCATCACGCTTGTCCTCTCGGTTGGTGGAGTATTTCACTTTGGGAAGGAGGCCCGCAGCACCTCCCTTCCATCCCGCTGTTCTGGGTTTCCTTAGTCCCTCAGGAAGGCAGCTCGTGGAGGAATGCACATGCGCAAAAGCTGGGACAGTGTCTAGCTCCACAGTGACAGCAGTAGCCTCAGAAGCCACAGGCAGGGGAGGCGAAGAGGCCCCAGTCCCTAGACATGCTGATGGGGAACACAAGCACGGCAATGTCCCCCTCCTGAAGGCCTGGTGGAGCGATCTGGCCTGAGTGCCCTCAGCTGTCCCTGCCTTCACAGGGACTCATGGTCATGCCCTCAGCACTGCCACCTTCGTGCTGGGTGATCTCAAGATGTGTGGGAGCCCAGTGCAGTGGCGCACGCCTGTGATCCCAGCAACTGGGGAGGCTGAGGCAGGAGGGTGGCAAGTTCAAGGCCAGCCTCAGGAGATGATTGAGGGACCTTGTCTCTAAGTAAAATACAAAAAAGGGCTGGGGATGTGGCTTTGTGGGTAAGCACCCCTGGGTTCAATCCCTGGTACCAAAAAAAAAAAAAAGTGCGGGAAACACAGAACGCCCTGCCTCTCTGTTCCCAGCCCTGCCGTCTCGCCTGGGGCTCTGTCCTCCACCCCCTTAACCATTCATGTCCTAGAACTGGACACAGCACAGTTATGGGAAGAGCCAGGGAGGAAATATTTGAGACTCCATGGGTCTTAGAGTTTTTTAAATCACATCGGCTCAACTCTGCTGTTGTGTGGAAATGGCTGTGCATAGACACGAAAGAAGGGGCCTGGCTGTGTTCTAGAAAAACCAGACAGATGGGCAGCAGGTGGATTTGGCCCATGGGATGAAGTCTGCAGATCCGTGCCCTAGACCTTGGCATTACTGATAAGCAGACCATAATCTCAACTGAAGCAACCAGTTCCAGCCATCTCCCGTGTCCCTGCTCCCCTGGCACCTGCAACCAGTGACTCCACCATCCCTCACAGGCTCCAGTCTTGTCTGAGAGAAATGCCCTCCTGGCCATTTGACGTTCTCCCTTGCATGTACCTGCAACCCCTGCAGCGGTCTGGCTTGGTCACACTCTAGGTAAATGCAGCCGTCTACACGGGCCACACCTAGCCAGTGCTCCTCCAGGAGGCAGGATGAAAACTCAGCCTGAGAGCATGGTGGTGCACACCTGTAGTTCCAGCAGCCCGGGAGGCTGAGGCAGGAGGATCACAGGTTCAAAGCCAGCCTCAGCAACTTAGCGAGGCCTCAGAGACTTAGCAAGATACTGTCCCAAAATAAAACATAAAAAGGTCTGGCGATGTGGCTCAGTGGTTAAGCAGCCCTGGGTTCAATCCCTGGTACCAAAAAGAAAAAAAAAAAGATCAGTGATGTTGGCTTTAATTTCATGATGATTAAACTCTCCTTGGTGATGCCCTGAGTAATAGCCTGCCCCAGCCCCACCCCTGTGGTCTGTTCCTTGTGGCTGCTGGGGCACCACAGACATTGAAGTGCTCAGCGCAGCATGGACTCCCTCACTCAGTGGTGCTGGGGAAGGTCAGGAGTCGAAAGTGGAGGTGTCACCAGGACTGCTGGGCTCTGGAGGCTCTAGGGGACATCCTTGCCTTCAGCGCCCAGAGGCACCTGCCTTCTGTGGCTTTGGCCCTTCCTCCGTTTTCAAAGGTAACAGTGTAGAGTTCTCTGCCATCGGCGGCCCTCTGCCTCCCAGTTACAGACACCTGGGATTACATCGGTCCTACCCAGGGAATCCAGGATCCTCTCCTCTCTCAGGATCCCAAAAGGTAACGTCGTCACTGGCTTCTGTGAATTCAGATGTCTCTGCAGGGGCCACTCATTATCCAGCCTGTCCCCCACCCCACTCTCCCACGCTCCTGGAGAGACTGTTCTACACGTTCACCCTTACCTTCAGACGGTTACCTGGCTGCCTGTGCCCACCCTGCACCTGCCCTCCCACCTGCACCCGCCCTCCCACCTGAACCTGTGCCTGCATCCCTGTGACAATGGCCACAGGCTCAGGCGCCTAGCACCTCTCCTGATTCAGTGGCTCGTCCCCTCTCTTTTAGTGACAACCTCCCTTGCCCTGGGTCTGCCCTGCCTGCACGACAACCTTTCTGTCCCATTAAGAAAAGAAAAAGCCTACTACCTCTCACAGGTGACAAAGGCTGCCACCAAGAAACCCGAAATAACAAGTGTTGGTAAAAACTGTGGAAAAATTGGAACCCTGTGCACTGTCGTCAGCGTGTACAAGGGCACAGCAGGAACGGAACACCTGGTGGCAGGTCCTTAAAAAGTAAGCATGGAATTACCAGAGGAGCCAGCAGCCCCAATTCTGGTACGTGCCCAGAAGAATCGAAAATAGCCTCAAACAGGAATCTGTACCCCACGGAGCTGCAGCGTCCCTCACAAAAGGTGGAACAACCCAGGTGGCCGACGGTGGATGAGTAGATGGACACAAGGTGGTCTATCCGTACAGTGGGGCGGTACCAACCTTAAAAAGGGAGGGAATTCTGACAAATGCTACGGTGGGTACGCGTTGGGGACACTATACATGGCCCAGCCACGACACCATGTGAATCCACTTACATGCCACGTGCGTAGATTTTCTGAAATCTATGTACAGACAACGGAGCCGTAGGGGCCGGGGGCTGGGGAAGGAGGCAACGGGGCGTTATCATGGTGTGGGGTGCGGGGTTGCCGCTTTGCACAGCAAGAAGTTCCCAGACGGCGGTGCTGATGGTTGCAAAGAGCGTGAACTCACCTCACGCCGTGGGACTGCTCGACTTAAAACGGTTAAGACGGTAAGTGTTCAGGTGGGTAATTCTCCACTATGAACATCGACAACAAAATCCCTCCGCGCGCCATGCTCCCTCTGAGTACCGTCAGATACTTAGCTGCTGTTCCGAAGAAACACCCAGAAACTGCCCGCACCTGTTCACTCTCTCCACTGCATCTTCTCCTGCATTCTCTTGTGCCGGCACCTCCACCAAGACTCCTGATGTTTGGGGCTCTGCTGACCTCCACATGCTGAATGCAGGGGTGGAGAGGAGGATGGAAGAGAGAAGGAGAGGGAGAAGGAGACCAGCAGGGAAGGACAGTGGGATGGTGAGTTTAAATATGAAACTCCGTGAGCACCCTGACCTTCACCCCTAGACCTGTTTTCCTCCAGGCCCAAATTCTTAGAAGTTGCCATAAATCTGAGTGTACTGTAAAGCCAGTTAACTAGAGCCTATTTACCTTACTTGCTTACAGAATGTATTTTTAGATTAATTAATAAAGCCTAAAGATAGATATTGCTACAGACCCCTGATGTGGGTATAGGCCAAGCACTAGATAAAGTCAACTGGAAGATTCTGAGAAGAGCCAGACCCCTG